CTGGCACGGACTGCACCCGACCAAACTGTCGGAGGACACGATGGGGGAGATGCCACTCAACCACGTCAAAACAAATAAGTGGCACTCTCGCCATCCATATCTCCTAACCCAGTCGGCAGTAGTCGGGGAGCGTATCGAGGACCCCAGCGTAAGGCTGCCAGATAAACTACAATGACGACAAATAATTTAAATTTTGCTCGTGAACTCAAAACATATACAATGAAGAAGACAACTAAAACGCAATCAAAAAAGTTCATACCTCGCCCTCGATCATGTGGCCCAGTTGGTCTTTATAAACTACCACTACGTGGGTCGAGATGACCTCGTGGCCCATGTCAACCCTCCACCGGCTAGCTCGCGGTCCGGTGGGCAACTGCATGTCCCCCTCACCCATAGGAAGCTCACCAGGACCAACCGGTTGCTGCCTAGACGGGGCAATGCGAATCAATCTCTCCCATGCCCAAATCTGCAATAGTTTGAATACAATTACAATACTGATATATGGCTATAAATATGAATTGACATGTAATAAAATTGTTACTAACCTGTAGCAACACAAGTGGTCCTCCAATCTCCCTCGTACCCACCTGAGCTGCTCAACATAGCATCCTATACAACCATGCCAGAGCCGCGCTACCTGTACTGCCCAATTTCCTTAATGTCTCTCAGTAATGGCAAGTACATCAGCTTGACCAGGTTCTGTGACTTATCAGGAAGAAATACCCCCCCAATAAGCCACAAAATATATGCTTGGGTATGCTGTTGTACCAACTCATCTGGAGCATGATCTGGAAGATGAGCAAAGTGCTCGGCCAGCCACCTCACCCTCACTCTACCTGCTTGTAAATCTGCTGGTGTAGGTGCTACTCCCAATAGCTCAGCACATAGGGCTATCCACTGCTCCGTCGCGAGAGAAGAGTCAACTCCAGTAACTGCTCAGCCATCAATCCGAAGACCATATAGGACGGATACGTCCTGCAACGTGACGGTGGCCTCCCCGATCGGGAAATGGAATGTATGAGTCTCTATGCGCCACCTCTCAACGAGAGCAGTGATGAGTGCGTGGTCCAGTCGAATGTGCCCGATACGATACACAGCATAGAATCCCGCGCGTAATAGATACTGCAAGACTCTATGGTCCAACGGATGCTCCCACAATCCAGAATCTGCCCGACGGCATGTCAACACGGTGCGTGCCTCATCCTGCACAACAGAATGACCAGTTTAATATTATCAATTATTATTATATAAATAAAATATTGGTATGAATTTTACAAAATAAAATTTATATATATTAAAAAGCCTATATGTTTGATGTAAGTGTGAGTGTTGTGGGTGTGAGTGTCAGAGAGAGGGATAGAGAGAGTGTTTGTAAGTGTCTGTGACAAACAAGAATGAGTGCTGATTTTGAATTCTTTGTTGAATTTTTACATTTTGCTTAGAAGTGATTATTATCCACGGGTCAACAATAAAACCGTGGTTTGCAACCACGTTTTCTGAAGATAGAAAGAATTAGTTAACCACAGATGGTTATGTATAAATCAAATTTTCTTAATCAGATTTACTTTAAAAAGGTAATTACTTCAAAATTTTTGTATAAATAAAATTTCCTTAAAAGCGTGATTTGTAACCTAGACAGATATATCAATAATTTTCAATATGAAGACATTACGAAGATTCTTCTTTTATTTTTCTATTCATACAATTTTATACTATAATTTGTATGAAGTATTGTATTTATTCAGTGCGATTGGACAAAACTGGACAAGTCATACAAAAATCTTAAATCATAGTGTAACTTTTTCTATGAAATTATTATTTTTTTCATTGAGTTCAAATAACTCGACTGATTTTGTATGACTTGTACTTAATTTTAATTTCAAACATTGTTCACGTCATTTTTTATAACTGGTGGTCAAATTAGTGAGATTTGTGGACAATTAAAGAGAAGTTACTTTTATTGACATTATTCCCTCTGTCAATAAGGACCTTAATGACAAAGTTATTTGATAGGTTATTTCCTATGACATTATTCCCTAACTTAGGGAAATAACCTCATTCGAAATAACGTAGGAAATAACTTAGGGAAATAACATAACAAAAAAATTATCGACCTGAAGCGAGTCAAACTTGAGTTTCATTAATATTAAAGAGCTCTCATTATGTGTTAGAAATTAGGTATGCTCCTTTCAGATCTCAAGTTGAAATCTCAGTATGTTTCATTAATTAAGATTTGTCGGATCTACGTAGAATGGACGTTTGGTGTGGATTGTAAGATTAGTTGATAAATACGTAAACTGATTCAGACATCCGACTATCATAAAAAGTTATAACTTAATTGAATAAACATAATGCAGGCGCATAGAGAATAAGTCAATTGGATAATTCAAGTGGGTAAAAATTATCGAGAATGACTCATTTTATAAATCAAATATTTTAATTTTTTCAAACATAATTCCTAAACAAATTTGTTTTTTTTTTTAATATCAAATGTTTTCATAAATAGCATTTTCCATGACAACTTGGAAGGTCTCTTTTGGCAAAGAGGTAAAAAGTAATGTTTTGACTTCTAATTTTTTGTGGATCAAATTATTCGACCTCTAATGTTTATATCAATTTTTTGTAGATCACTTCTAAAAAGTCATTTATTTATATCAAATTTATAAAAGGGAATGTCATGTATTTTAAGGAGGAAAAACTCGAAAATGAAATTCAACCGTAAATGGGGCAAGAAATTCAAGTAAACTATACTTTTTATATTTAACCACGATTACATTTGAATTTAGGGCATAAATTTAGTCAAACCAATTTTTCTTATCGTAGGGGCATGTGGCATCAATGGCATATTTTAAAGTTTTCTTTTATTTTTTATTTTTGGGTCAACATTCTAAGTAGTTAGATTTTTAATTTGTTAATAAAATTTTAGTGTACTACTTAAAGGGTCACCCATAGAAAATATTAAGCAGGCCTACACCGACATAAAATTCAATTATCTGACTTTTCTATTTTGCCATATCCCTATCTCCAAACTTTTCTATTTTGCCATATCCTTTTTGTTCCTGGCCAAAATGATGAGAAAACTTCCATAGCAATTTCTTATCACAAATTTTGTTCCTTACTTTTCAATTTCTTATTCTTACTTAAAAAATTGAAAGTTAGAACAAAATTATTTTTGTTACTTTATTAATTTTAAGTTATTACTACTCCACATCACCTAATTAATAATAATTTTTACAGCCAAATTAACGTTTCTCTTTCTTATGTAATTATTATTATTATAGATAATTATCTATTCATTACGTAAAAATTATTTGTTCCTAAAAAAAATTATATAACATTATTTAAAAATTTTAACTTATCATAAATTTCTTAACCCCTAATTTCTGAAACTATAACCCTCATTTCCGATTTCACAATTTAAAATCGTTAATTGAAAAATGATTTCACATTCATCAATTCAAAACCCTAATTCAAAACCAAAACCCTCATTTCTGATTTCACATTCAATAGAAAAGCATAACCCTCATTTTCTTATTTCAAACATAATATTTAAATTTTGCTAAACAGATATAACATTCAACAGATTTCACATTGAACAGAAATCTGATTTCACATTCAACAGATTTCACAATTATAAACAGATTTAAGATAAATATAAACCATTCAACATTCACATTCAACAGATTTCTAAACAGATTTCACAAATATAAACCCTAACCCTAACCCCACATTCATGAACCCTAACCCTAATTTATTCACATTTTCACAAACACAAATATATTAACAAATATAAACTCTAATCCTAATTTATTCACAGTAAAGTAGATGATAGAAGCCATACCAACGAGAGAGAGAGACAGTACTGAATCAATCAGAGAGAGCTCCAGAGAGAGAGAGAGCAGCGAGCTCCAGAGAGAGAGAACAGAGAGTAAAGAGCGAGAGAGAACAGAGAGTAAACAGCGAGAGAGAGACAGCAGTGGAGAGGAGAAAGCATGAATGGAAAACACGGGGCTGGAGGGGTTTAAATAGAAGTTCTAAAATCGTGGTTGTGAACCACGATTTCACTTAAAGAAAAAAAATTTGCTCTAAACTCGTGGTTATGAACAGCGAGTTCAGAACAAATCTATTTTTTGATGAACTCGTGTTTTGAAAAAGCGAGTTCAGCATGAAATCGTGCTTGTAAAAAGCGAGTTCAAAGGAAAAAAAATTTAATTAAATTCGCGTTTCGTAACCGCGAGTTCTTAATGAAACTCGCTTTTCATAATAACGAGTTTCAATTTTGGCAAGTCTCAAGTGACGGAGGTGAAAAAGTGTTGAACTCACGATTGTGAACCGCGAGTTAACTCATTTTGAAAAATCTTTCAAAACTAGACTTAGTTGAAAATTCCTTTACTATTTTGGCTTATTTAGGGGAATGCCCCAGCCCGGCCGCTGGTATCCGCTCAATTATCCTCTCTCTATCTCACCTGCCACTCATTGAGCCGCTCTGCGCATAGGTAAATCTCTCTCCCTCTCTCTCTCTCTCTCTCTCTCTCTCTCTCTCTCTCTCCCTCTCTCTGTATTTGTGTCTTTGTAAATGTCTTTATTCAGAAGCCAAAGAGTCTATCTAAAACCACAGCCTTTATGCATGCCTTTAATCCATGTGTTAGATTTGATCAATTGTTTAGAGACATTAATATGCACGCCATGTGTTTGATCAAATGTTTTCATGGATGATCAAGAAATCTGCATTCGATGTCACTACTGTTCATAAGTAATTGAAGTTGGCACGGCAGTCCCTAGAAGGAAAAATTAAAAAAAATAATAATAGACTGTGTCGTCATGAGTTGTGGCATGAGTGGAATGGGCATAGCAGGGGAAGAGTATGTGGAATTTCAATGTCCATTTCTCGTCTTCTCTAACTACTACTAGTTTCTCTGTTGAAATACAACCAAGGTATGAAGTTTCATCTTCTCTTCCATCACGGTTACATGGCAACACCGTATCTGAGATCAGTCAAAATGGTATCTTCTTTCTGTACATCTGCATTGAAGTGGGAAGGTGGTGTTTCAATGGTGCAAGGAGCTTCCAGAGGCATTGGCCTCGAATTTGTGAGCGAATTCTCCAACTTTGTTACATTTCTCTCTTATTAGCACTTTGTCTTAAATCATTGTCTACAATTCTATGCATTGATTGTCTCTTGCATTTTGGTTTCTTATTTGTAAGCTGGATTTGATCTTCTTTCACATGACGTTGTGGCAAGACCCATTATGAGCTGGCTATACCGCTTTCATTTCTAGTGCTTGCTTGATGCTCGAAGGATCGCATCTTTCCTTGACCTAAAAAAAGTAGATTCTCTTGTACAATTGTCTAACATTGCTCAAAATTCTGAAATGCTTGTGGTTCTAGTTTTTTTTTTTTTTTTCACATAGATTATTTCTTTGGTCAGTGATGATTCTTTTGCTCTTTTATTCTTTTATTTTTTGATAGAATGTTTAATACATATTCACAGAGATTTTATTTGGAGTATATTACACTTTATCCCTGGGATTGGTTCTAAAAATGAGGTGTGCTCCATCTATAATTTGATCTGTGACACTAAACTCTTAGGGTCAATACAAAACTATGAAAATGGATGGCTATAATGAAAATGTTAAAAAGATAAAAATAACCACTTATTTCTCTTTTGTTGCTTCTCTCTCTTTTTCTTTCTTCTCTCATCCCATCACTATCACCACCCATTAGCCCCACTGATCAACACCCATTAGCCCCACTGATCAACACCCATTAGCACCATCACCCTTCGTCACCACTAGTCACTGCCATGCCACCCAAAACCATCATCACCACTACTCACCACCCATCACAACCACCCATCACCTAAATCAACCACCACCACCCATCATCACCACCTAGCAACGGAAACCATGGACAAACCAACGATTGAAATCCATCAACAATTGAAATCAACCCAGAAAACACTGACAAACCAACCATTGAAATCCTCCTCCCTAGCACTACATCATTGATTAGGCCAGAGATTAAAATTAGACCCCCTCCCCTCCCACCCAAAAAAAAAAAAGTTGAATCCATCCCTCTCCATAACTCCCATCATGCCCTGCATAAACCCACCATCCCCCACCACTTAACATTTGCTAATTCACTATAGACTGAAGTGGAAACGAGGTGTTTGGCCTTGACACATTGTTTGTGGTAAAATTGTCTCGGTGACACGTAGGTGGCCGTGAATGAGATGGGGAAGAAAAACATGTGGCATGCGATGTGGAATGAAAGAATGACATGTCAAGAGCTAAGTAGGCATGTTGTTACAAGTTGCCCATATAAAGTAGTAAGTGGAATACAACAAGATAATCAAGCCGTAGGGAACCTGTTTGTTCCTTTTCCTATTATAGTGCTGGAATGGTTTAAATATTCTAGGAACATGCTTCCATAGGGATGAAGGAGTTGGAGATTGAGGGCGCCAAATAGGACATATGGTTTCGTTTGTTGCATCTTCCTATATAAATGCAGAAAGTGGGCTGGTGGTTACTAGAATTGAGCTACAAGTCAACAATACATGGGACAAATGTTGCTAATTCAGTTTATCAATTTCAATTCCAGCAATTGTCTTTCACTTATTGTTCAATTCCAGCAATTGTCAATTTGAGTTTCCTTTCAATTCAAGCACTTGTCAACTTCAATTCCAATTGTACGTCATTACTTGTTAATGCAAGTTTAATTTTCTTTATTTTCCAATACTTGTCTTACAACTTCATTTAGTTTCACACACCTAGAAATTTATAGGAGTCCTCTTCTCTGAGGCAAGATCTGGACCAAGTGGTCTATCCTCTTGACCTCACACAATCATCTTTGTTTAGAAGTCAGAAATCATTCGAAGTCATCAATTGGACAGCATCCAGTCTTGGCATGCCTGCACATTAATACACACATGGTCTAAGTTTTTACTTTTCCTAAGGTGCAAACAATTTTGGCATGCCCAATGAGATCTTTAGGTGTGTTGCAATGATACTATGGCTGGTAGAGGAAGAGGAAAAGCTATCAACAAGACGAAACTGCAGCATAAGGTTCTTCAAACTGCTCAGGATCGGAGTAGCACCAACATTCAGCGTCGCAGTCTAGTCTTGAAGGATTGCCAGAAGTGACAAAGTTTTAAGAATTGTATCATCGCAACCAACAAAGAGAGCTTTCTCATGTAGTCTCTTATTCTTTAACTATGTCACTACAGGAGATCAAGCAATATATGGCTGAGTTGGCGAAGGCTATCAACAGAATGATAGCAACTTTAGGTGAGAGAGCTCCAACAACTTCACCACTTGTTCCATCATAGCCTGAAACAACAGGACCACCCAACGTTACTGCAGACCAAAATCAAACCAAGCAATTTGTCACTTACCTACTTGCCCCTATGCTTTTTCCATGCCTTGTCAGCCCAATGCCAAGGGGCAGGGCGGTGAGCAAGAGTGGCAACCTTCTAGGTTCAGGCCGTAAGAAAGCACAAACGGCCAGATTAACTAGGGAAAGGGTTCTAGACCTACTCCAAACGGTCAGTCTCAAGGTAGATGGAGAGAGTTTTTTTTTTGGGTGAATAGATGGAGAGAGTTCAATCCTCTATATTGATTCACTTGTACAAGAGGGAGTGAAACCTCACTTCAATCAAGTAGCTTGAGGAGCCTACCGGCCCAACATGGTCATGAATAGAGAACAAATGATAGACCTCATTCAGGATCAATTTGGTCTTACGCTTGGGCACATCAGCAAACCAATCTTTCGGAAGTCCTATCCTAAAGCTATTGACAGGGAATATGAGTTCCCTAAAGAGTAAAAGGTGCCCCAGTTTGTAACCATTCTACTGTGGAATACATTGCAAGGTTCACTGTACAATGTAGTGAAATAGGAAAGAATGACTTTCTCAAGTTGAGGCTGCTCACAAATTCTTTGACAGGAACAACCTTTAATTGGTATATCAGCCTGCAACCAAATTATGTTCATTCCTGGCAACAGTTGGAGGATATGTTCCATCAACAATTTTACAGGACGAAACCAAAAATAACCATTGTTGACCTTTCCTGGATGTTCCAACTTCCTGGAGAATCGGTTGAGACACACATTGCTAGATTAAAGAAAGCAAGGTTCAAATACTAGTGGTCCTCCTACATATAGAATATGTTAGGTTAGCCCAAAACGGCCTAGACTTTGAGCTTCACAAGAAATTCGAAGGCATGGAGTCCAAAGACTAGGTTGAATTGGAAGCCCAAGGGGTTGGCCTGGTGGCAAGGCCTTGGGTCTTGGGTGTGTGCTCCCTCTAAGGTTCAAGGATCGAAATCTCTTAAGTGCTAACAATTCCTTGGGGCCATCAGACTAGGGAAACCCTTGAATTAACCATGGTACATTTGCGAGTAACTCCTTACCGAGAGCCTATGCACCCTTGGGGATTAGTTGGGTTTTGATCTAGAGACCCCAATGCCAATCAAAAAAAAAAGAGACTTGGTTGAATTGGCCGTGAAGGCAACAAAGTTTGAACAAATCTTGAAAGAAGAGCAGGATTGAAAGCATCACCCAAGGAACCTACTAGAGTGACCCTAATTACATTGTTGCTAATGCAGATGCCAACCTCAACCCGGAGGTGGCGATGGCCAAGATCCTAAACAGAAATTTGTACACTTCCAACATCACCAAAGCATAGGAGATTTTTGACCATTTGATGACGGAAAAGATGTTTTGATTCTCCGTTGGCCGCAAGATTCTTTTGCTGAAGAGATAAAAAAATAAGGAATACTATTGAGTACCACAATTGTTGGAATCAAGCATCCAATAATTGCATTGTTTTTAGAAATGTTATCCATGACCAAATTGATCAAGGATAATTCATGTTCCCGAAAAAGGAGAAGCATGTGATGGTAGTAGATTGTGATCCATTCCGTGCCGAGTTTGGAACCAACATGGTGTCTATCAACATGGCAGGAATGACAAGGGCAACAGCCAAAAGGAAGATCAGTTTGGGGGAACCTTCTTGATCTTGAAGCAAAACCAGACTACAACCTGGATGACTTTTTTTTATTAGTCCTACTCATGCAAAGGAAGGAGGACCATACATAAAGTATCTTGGTCTCAAGATCCAGTTCAAAGCAACAAAGGAAATCCAGTTTTCAGCCCTGTCTTCAAATTGAACACACTGTGGTCACAGGCTCACAGCCCTCGCAAGAGAGCCAATGATAAAGGGCTGTGTGATCATTAAACACAAATCTGAGCCACAAAGAAGAAAGATGGAAATAAAACAAAGTTCACCATGTCTTCTCTCTCTCTCTCTCTCTCTCTCTCTCTCTCTCTCTCATTTTCTCCTTTCTTCTTTCTTAAATTCGCTAATAGGCGTCGAAACAATTCATTGTTTCAGAATGTTGAGTTTCGGAATGTATCAGTGGAAACTGTGGAGTTTTGATTTTTTTTGTTAATGTTTCATGTTAGTTTCCTGGAAAACGTAACTGTTTCACCTGTTACAATGGAAATAAAACAAATTTTTGTTCCTTGCATATAACATTTCGCGGGATTCTAAATTCTGGGGAAGGTTTTGCTACTGTTACAAATTAATATGTGCAGCCATGTACTTTCAACATTTTTAGCATGCAATTTAACATTTTGTGAAAAAAGTACTGTTTGACGGAGCTCACTGTAAAGATCATGCATAAAAAGAAAATCAATATTATTTAACACTTTTATACAAAAAGATTTGATGGTTAGAATATGCTTAAAATAATGTTCCAAAAAATATTTGAGGAATCAAAAGGTTAAGGTTCTTGAGATCAAAATGAGTTTTTTAAGAATTATACACTCAGACAAAATCTAAAAAAGGTAGGGCCTGATTTTTGAAAATAAAATAAAAAAAATAACAAAAAGTTGAGCAACAGGACATGACTGTACACTATTTGACAGCATAAAAACTCAACCCTCTAAATTCCTTATGCTGTAACTTCTATGGCTGTGATACTATATTGATGTTTGTGGTAATTCTTCATTATCTTGCTCTGTGATTGACCACCTTTGTAGTTAACCCTGATAAGCGATCTACCATTACAGAATGCATGATATAATGAGA